GTTTTGATGCATTTTGTGTGCGTTTTTTTTATGCAGTTTCCATTCATTTCAATGAAGGGATCCGTTTTTAGTGCTTTTTGTTTTTTTACTGGACCAAACATGCACCAAAAATGAAGCAAGCTGGATTTTTTAACCGCAACTGAAGTGCAACAGACCAATGTGGAAAGTTACATAGGATATAAAGGGATGCAGTTTTCTTCCACTTTTTGTTTGCTTTTTTTAACTGAAGAACACGCCAAAAGCAGGTCAGTGTGAAAGCAGCCTTTTTTCTTTATGCACACTTCACGTTTTTACAGCTGCTGCTGTTTTTGGCTTTTGACGTTTTTTTCTACAGCTAGTAAACCCCCCAGCATGTTATCCTATGTGTCCATTCACACATAGACTGTAATCAACGTTTTTTGGCTGGGATGTTTTTTGGCTGGAAAGAAAACCCAGGACTAGTGGGTTTCTAGAGGAGTTTTTTAGCTGTAAAAATGCTGTAATGCTGAAAAACAGAGTTTTTGGACTTTTTTTGACCAAAAAAAAGCTAAAAAAAGCAAACGCAGAAAAACGCGGGAAAACGTAGCTAAACGCAGCAAAACGCCACTAAACGCTAATGCAAAAACGCTAAAAAAAGCTGAAAAAAAACTCACGTTTTTAACATGACTTTACATAGCTAATGTTACCAGTGTTATCAAAACGTCCAGTGTGCATGAGGTCGAATTTTGATCTATTTTATTACCATCTTTTTTGAAATTTTAAAGCCTTGGTTGTGTTTCCTCTAACCATGCTGCCCTAGACACTGGCCCACAAGTGCCTTTATGGAAACAAAGCCTTGGCTGGATCATAAGACTATCTAATTAGAATTATAATCCTTTCGGTAAGTAAAGCACTTCAAATATATGTCGTTCAACTCTGCATTCAGCTGTCCCCCTGGAGTTCAACTTTAATGCTGGCCATAGACGGGTTGAAAACCGGGCGTTTTTTTTAAAAAAAAGGAAAAATCGGTCGTTCAATAAGCCGACGTTACCAACAACGGTAAACAAAACGGCCAATTTTCGTCCCGTGTACGACCGGCATTTAATTACTTCTGTCCCTTGCAGAGAGCTCTGCTATTATATTTGACATGAAAAAGTCTTGCGGTTGCAACAATGTATCTATTTGTGTCCAATTCGGATACAGGTGTTTTTATTCGGATACAAATAGATACATTGTTGCAACCACAATACTTTTTCATGTCAAACATAATAGCGGACTGGAATTCCTATTCTTTTTCTTCTTCTTTTTTCTTCTTCTTCTTCTTCTTTTTTTTTCTTCGTCTTCTTTTTCTTCTTCTTTTTCTTCTTTTTCTTCTTGCAGGTCATGGCTCATGTGCAGATTTTTTATCGGTAAAAAGATTGGCCGATTTGCCCATCATTGCCGGGAAAATCGGCTGATCGGCAAAATCATCCGATTTTTTCCAACTTCGCCGATAAAAAAAATGCCAAAATGCTGGAAATCGGCTGACCAAATAACCCACTAACGGTGCGAAAATTGGCCGATTTTTTTTTTTTCGGCCGAAAAATCTGCTGATTTTCGACCCTTCTATGGCCTGCATAAGGCTCCATGTACACGGGACGTTTGGAAAACACTTCTGAACGATGGAAACTGACTGCTGGAAAACATATGTTAAAAACATCTGTTTAGCTGCGCTTGGATACTGCGTTTATGCGCGTTTGCATTCAGAAGTGTTTTTTAAAGATAACATCAGGAGACCTTCCAAAATGCCCAGAATGCACTGAAAAACAGTAAAAAAGAGAGAAATAGAGAGAGCAGAAACAGATAGAGCAGTATGTGTTGAGATTACCTGTCTTTTCTAGTTGTATTCACTATGGATCCCATCATGAGCATAATGCGGCACGTTCTACCATTCTTTCTTTCACGCGAAACCTGGAACTGACTGTGCTGGTGTTCTATGTCCATTTGAATACATGGAAAATGCTTTGCATGCATTTCTGATGATGAAGAAAGACTCTGGACAGCATTTGGATATGGAACAGTTAAAAAACGCTTCTAAACGCAAAAACTTATAAACGTGGTTAGCCGCGTTTACAAGCGTTTGGCATTTGAAACGCTGATAAGATCTACTCCTGAATGCAAGTTTGGTGCGTTCAAAAAAAAACAACTGTAAACTCAACTGCCTGCAAACGACTGTAAACGACTATGTGTACATGGACACATAGGAAAACATTAGGGAGAGTTCAGGGGCTGCTGAAAAAAAACGCTGAACAACTCCTGAATGTCAGTTTATCAGCTGCAGTGTACATGAACCCTAATAAACGTTATCACAAAAATCGGCTCTGTACCTTTCTGTACCTGTCACCCTGAAAAACCTACAAAGGGCTTACAAATCCTCGTAATAATCTGGATCTACGTATGAGCGGAGAAAAGGAGAACAGAGGGGACAACATAAATATGTAGGGGAAATGACAGTTGCTGTTTCTTAGCATCTCTATTTTTATTGCTTGGAAGTTTGTCTTGTAGAATTTAGCATATGAAAGAGAAGGTAAAGGCACATGCATGTCAGCGTAACAGTATATGGCGAGAACGTGCGTACGCATACACTGAAAAAGAAAGACTGAAGATTGTAGGGAAGCAGGCGTCAAACTGAGTCGGTAAGACTTTAAATCAGTAGAGGAGTAGAAAAGGTCGCCCAGGCGGTTGTTATGTGCCATCAAGACCCCATTCTACTGATCTCCCGAGAGCATCCCTACAGACAGAAAAACTGAAGTGAATTGTCAGCACTTACTGCCTGCTCTGTGCCTTTATTCTGCCAGTCTTCCTTTTTCTAAGGCCAGTCACATGAAGCGAGGACGTCATCCAATCATTGTCAGCACTAGGAAACTACCCCTATTTTCTTTACAAAGGCACCCTGCTAATTAACAGCGGATGACAAGAGAGGCTGCCGTTGCCGTTGCCATGGCGATGGTATGGCCCTATTTAACGGCCAGCTGGTCGTCTTTTGTTGCTACTGGCAGCTGAGGACTTCGCTTTATGCGACTCGTGGACCACATATGTCCCCATTAAAAAGTCATTCGCCATAAAATATCACACCTAAAGGATCAGTGGGGGAAAAAAAAAATACAATGTCAAGCAACAAAGCCATACACAATGGAATCTGCATGAAGTGCAAAACCGAAATGTTTGTTTTATTCCGTTAAGACAAAAATATTTCATTCTATATCAAGCAAAGCTTTCAAACACGCAGACTGTTGTATGGCAGGAGAACTCCATTCAATCACTTCTTCCATGAATAGTTAACAGTCTTTTACTGTTATTATCTAAATGTTGTACCATGTCTCATTTCATAGCCTGATGGCACCTTCTGGAGCTTTAAAAAATAATTCCCCACAGTCCATTAATCGCGCTACAGGAAAGGGGGGCTCTCAGCTATACATAACGCTTGCCTGACATCCCCACTTAGCACTGGGGCTTCCGTCGCCTTTGATTTAATTAATGTTTTTTTTTTATTTTTTATTTGGTATAATATATGTTTTACAGTAACCTTGAAGGGTAAATGACATGTTAATATGATCCTATTGCAAAAAGCCGAACCGCCATGGATTTCCACACCAATAATATCACTCACAGCAATAAACACTCGAATCATTTTCCCCCTCAAACGACTGCAAATGCTTTTCATTGAAAGCGGAAGCTGCATCTCAGATCATAAAGGCTTGTTTAATTGTATCTGCTTGTTTACTGCATTTTTCTCCTCTTGTTAAATAATAAGGTGCTTGTCAGATGATTGTCCAATTAGTAGCTGAAATGACTGGCTGTAATACGATTACCAAGTCCCATTCCAAAAAGTGTCATTCTAATTCCTTAGCAACTGGAGCTGTGTCTGTGCGATTAGACAGCCCGCAAACCCCCCAAAGAAGTTTGCCGCACTCACTGGCACCACTGATGGGATAAGGCAACTTAAATTCCCTTATAGCATTATCTTCTAGTGATTCTATTTAGCGGTGTTCAGCTAAAGGGTTTGGAAGGGATCTAGAGGATAGAAGGGAAATGATGCTTTGAAAAAGAGACACGGAGCAACAGGCAGGGATGTAATAGAGGATGAAAGCGAGAGTGTTGTGAATAGGCCATAGGACAAATCACAGGAGACAGAGATGGATGAAGATGCAGAGAAAGCACAGAAGGCATTGTACATTGATGAGACCCATTAATAGCACAACACAAGACCGGATTGCACATGTCACATTTTTTTATCCAATGTATTTCCAGTAAAGGAAACAAGACGTGAGCGTGATTATTAACAATTGACATATTTTTATGGTAAAATGACAACTGTACACAGATTATTTATTATAAGTATTTTTAACAATTTGCGCAGTCCTTTTCATACTGTATTTTTAGGCTCCGTTCACATTATCGTGTTCCCGCTACACAATTATGACAGCACAATTTTCATACGATTCTGCATGTCACATAACACCGCCCATCCACTGGAATGGGCGGCCCTTTGCTCGTTTGTCACCTGAAAAGAAGCTCCTGTTCCTTTTTGGGTAACATGCTTCAAGACTTTTTAGATTAGATTATTTAGATTAGATTCAACTTTATTGTCATTGTGCAAAGTACATGTACAGAGTCAATGAAATGCAGTTAGCATCCAGCCAGAAGTGTATAAATGGCGCATTTACAATAAATAACAATATAATAAAAATCGGGGTATGGAATATACAGTAATACCATAATCGGTGCAATGAGTAGTGCATTAATGAATGAAATGTTCAGTACTGCAATGGTGAACAATATATACAGTAATGCAATATTGTCTAATGATTAGCTGTTCAATGCTTTAATAGCCACAGGGAAAAAAACTATTTTTCAGTCTATTTGTACGGGCTCTGAGACACCTTTTAACCGCCTTCCGCCCACCATATAGTACAATGACGGGCGCAAGGTGGTTCTCTCGTTCATATGACGTCCTTCCATTCTCATCGCGCATGCGCGGCTCAGGGAGCGCGCAGCGCTGCGATCGCCGGTGCATTGTGTCCCTTGGACACAGCGGATCACGGAAAGAGCCGAAGATGTCGGCTCGGTCATGTGATCAGCTGTGTCCAATCACAGCTGATCACATGTAAAAAATGGAAATGCCGGTTATCTGCATTTCTCTCCTCTTGAGCTGTCACGCTGACAGCTTGAGAGGAGAGGAGAGCCGGTAATCGGCTTTCCACGGAGGGGACATGTACACTGATCATCAGGGCACTGATGATCAGTGTGCCCTGATGATCAATGTGGCCCCAGAAGTGCCACCTGTCAGTGTCCATCAGTGCCAGCAGTCAGTGCTCATCAGTGCCACATGCCAGTGCCCATCAGTGCCACACCAATGCCACATATCAGTGCATACCAGTGCACATCAATGCCACATATCAGTGCCCATCTGAGCTGCCTTTCAATGTCACCCATTAGTGCCAGTCAGTGCCACCTATCAGTGCTGCCAATCAGTGCCACCTATCAGTGCCAGTCAGTGGCACCTATCAGTGCCAGTCAGTGCCGCCTATCAGTGCGCATCAGTGCTGCCTATCAATGCGCATCAGTACCGCCTATCAGTGCCAGTCAGTGCCGCCTATCAGTGCCAGTCAGTGCTGCCTAACAGTGCCAGCCAGTGCCGCCTATCAGTGCCATATATCAGTGCCATGTATCAGTGCTGCCTTTCAGTGCCCATCAGTGATGCCTGTCAATGCCCATCAGTGCCACCTACCAGTGCCTCCTCATCAGTGCCCATCAGTGCCACCCATCAGTGTCCATCAGTGCAGCCTATCAGTGCCCATCACCGCAGCCTCATTAGCACACATCAGTGAAGGAGAAAGATCACTTATTTACAAAATTGTATAACAAAAACTACGAAAAAACTTTTTTTTTCAAATTTTTCAGTGGTTTTTGGTTTGTTTAAGAAAAAATAAAAATCCCAGAGGTGATTAAATACCACCAAAAGAAAGCTCTATCTGTCTCAAAAAAATGATAAAAATTTCATATGGGTACAGTGTTGCATGACCGTGCAATTGTCATTCAAAGTGTGACAGCGCTGAAAGCTGGAAATTGGCCTGGGCAGGAGGGGGTATAAGTGCCCTGTTGGCTAGTGGTTAAAGATGCAGTTTTCTGCAGATGCCACAACAATCACAGCAGAATTGCAACGTGTTTGGGTTGCCATTGAAAGATAATAGCACACAAACTTGTCAAATAATTCCAGGAATAAAATGTGTGGGCATCCTTCAAAAGGTACATTTTGAAAATTCATGATAAATCAGGAGTAGGCTGGAAATAACTGAAAATTATATTGTGGTAATTAATATATGATTTTAAATTTTGACCATAGATACACTTTAAGACTCCCTGGAGCAAGGACAGTTATGAATAGTTCTATGTTTTCTAAAAATGCCCTATGTAATATGTTGGAAGTATCTAATTGGGGATAAACTATTAATTAAATCATTCTACTGGAATGGTTTGTATTATGAAACAATTTCTTTTGGTTGTTATATTTTAAATCAGGGAGCTGTGTCAGCCACATTTAGGAAGACAGCTGTGGTTATCAGTCCATATGCTCATCAGAATTACCCATACCTTATAGTTCTTCAGCAAACATTATTAAGCTGTATCAAGAAAATGTTTCAAGTCCCCAAGCTGTATGACTTGCCTTACGCTAAAAAAAATACAATAGATCAAAGACAGTCATTTCTTCTTGGCTTTGGGTACTTACAGACAAAAGATGGCGTTCTCTGCTGTGCTTAGAATCAGATTGGCCAGCAGCAATTTATATATAAGTACACTTTGAACTTATGAGACATCTTTTGACTTAAGCTTCTCAAGGGAAGAACCAATTTGTTGAGTTGGATTTGCGTTACATAAATTCCTCAGCAATCAACCCAGCTAGCCATCACAACATATCCTAATTATACATTTTTTTTTAAATATGTGAAGACACACTGCCATGTCAATGCACCTCTGTAAAATGTACTCTTCTGCCTAAACGATTTGAAAGAAGGCTTGCCTTGGAGGTGGCCTCATTCTCTTTAAAAGAAACTAGTACTGTTATTGGGACCTCCTTTAAAAATACTAATTGCCTAGTTGTCTCGATACACCAACCCAAAACAAGCAGTGATGGCCTAGGAAAGAACTGTTTGGGTGGCTACAAACAGTTCTTTTCTCATTCTGGTCTCTCAGTATATGCTTGAACGGGTTGCTTGTATACTATACATACATTTTGGTGAAAGCTGGCAAGGACCAATCAGAAGCAAGTGTGAATGGCCTCTAGCACTCAAACTGGAAATATATAAGGGGTGTTCAAGTCAAAACTGAACTTTTATTTTACAAATATAAAAAGGGATGCTAGCGTGGAGGTACTACATACAGTAGTTGATGGCAAGTGTGTCCTATTACTGATAGGCAGCACACATGTCATGGGCCAGTCTAGAGACCGTTAATCAAGATGGCAGAAAACAGTGTTAGTGCATGGAACAGCGTGTGGTGATGACGTTTCTTGTGAATGAAGGCATAAAACTCACAGATATCTACAGAAAACTTCAAGCACAGTACGGTGATGAGATACTTAGCTGCAGTAAGACATTTGAATGGTGTAAACATTTCAAAGATGGCCGTATGTTCATCAGTGACTATCCCAGCCATGGTGGTTCCCAGCCCACAGCAGTCATTCCAGTGAACATTCAACACGTGAAACGCAGTATCCTGCATAATCGACGCATAGGCGGTCTGGAAATTGCACAAGAGGTGGACCTTTTTGTGGGAACAGTGAACACAATGATGGCTAAGTGAAGCAGGCTGTCCTAGGATGGTTCAGGTGTACTCTCAAATCTTTCTATGCTCAGGCTTTCCAGGCATTAGTTAAATGCTGGGATAAGTGTATAAATGTAGCAGGGGAGTATGTTGAAAAATAAATGCAGTGTGCAATCCTTGAAATCTGTTCTTTTATTATATAAACTCAAAAGTCCTGGTTTGACTTAAACTCCCCTCGTAGTATCACTGTTGGGCAACAATAATCTGGTGTAAATTGTGGGCAAAATGGTATCTAGAGATACGGAATTATATTCATTTTCATGTGTTAATTCATTATTTCGGGAGATTGCTTATGCAATCGGAGTCATCCCTGCTAGTCCAACCCACAAAGAGAAATGGAATGAGCTGATTGGCCAATATTGACTTTAGTAGCAAAAGTAACAAATGGAAAAAAGTTAATTTCTGATTCATTTGTGATGTTATGATTCAGAGATTCTGATGGATCCACCTGTGTGCAACCCAAACACAATAAGTAGGAATCATCTTATTTCACTTTTATACCTTAGTGTATTTATTGCAATATATTTCCATTTCATATGTAGTGTACTTCTTATTACAATGAAAAAGTTAATGCAAAAAAATCAGTTGACTATCCAAGAGTCAAAGACAACCGCACCTCTCTCATCTGAATAAAACATAAGGATCCAAATCAATTTGGATTATATATTATGTTGTTACAATATTTTGCATGCATCAAGACCCAAGATATTGCATCATAAACTGCATCTGAATGAATTGCACATGTCTAATGGTATCACTCTTGGTTAAGTTATGAAGTTTCATTTTGCTGAAATTGGGAGAGTTTGAAGTGAAATTTCACTGTTTTGATGAAATACATTGGAATAAGACAGGCTTTACCTAGCTAAATGGACAAACGAAAAAATAAATAAAATATAAACATTTAAATCAACAAAGCATAAATAATAATCAAAAATAAGTCATTTTTCACAAAATCAATTTCACCACAATCACTCATAGAACATCACTTTGGAAGCGTATTTTGCACATGGCACCACTATGGATCATAAATGTGGGGTTACTCTGGGTGGTAGCAAACCAGAATGCTACCATTCTGAAGGCAGCATGCAATAGTCTGGAATTACTTCAAGGTATCCATAGATGGCAATATGGTGTCAGTATTGGGTTGAATAGCATATAGTTGTCAATATTCCCTAATAAATTGGGAGGTGACATCTTTGTGATTTGAAAAATTGGTAGTCTGCTTTGCATACTGTCTACTGCAGCAACGTTGACCCTACCTTGTCAACAGGACATTTAGACATGGGAGTGCAAGAAAATATGTAGAAATGCCCTGTAGAAAAAGGGGCTTGACATTCTTGCATGGCCTTACTCTATGGTAACATACTGTAGCTGCCACTATGCAAGCACCCTACAACATGACAACTCACTCCCACTCTGGTGGTTCCTTACTCTGGTGAAACATGGCATTACTTGGGGGTTCTATACAACGTGTTATCAATTTGGTGGAAATATAGTGTCATACTGGAGCTACAAAACATTTATGTGGGAGTACTCTGACGACATAGCATCAATCCGACAACATGATGTCACACTGGTTTTAAATATGGCACCTCTTTGAAGAAAAGCTATCACTTTGGCCTTTGTGACATGGTCACATTAGGTAAGTTGGAGCAAGATTATTGTGCCATTTTTCTCCAGCCACCAGTAACCATATATGCATTCCATGCTAAATGTACAATTTTTTTACATTGCCCATAATAAATCTCTTTTCTTTTGAATGTGGACACAGTTTTGTTGAAGCAAATCATTATCAGCTAGAGCATTCACTTCTTGAACTACCCTGATATGGAAAAGTACAGATATCAAGAACCCAACCCCTACAGAACACTCAAATGAATACAGAATACTGCTATATAAATGTTAGTCAGGTTTATAGCTGGTGCACCAAGGGGGTCCTGGGAAGCATTAAAATCCATTCTATCCTATTATGACCATGACATTTATATACTTCTACATTTAGGTAACGGGGGACTCTTTAGATTCTAGCACAGTCTGTGAAATAAAAAAATGTATCTTCAAACACTACAGTTACTCTAAAGTACTCTCTTTTCTCATGCAGTGTGACAGTTTGTCTCTTACCGGTTTAATATATAGAAAAGACCGTAGGTCTACCGTTTAGATCGCAAGTCTAAACTTAGTAGCATCCTGAGCTTTTTACCATGGTGTAAAATAGACTGCAGAAAAAGCTTTGAACAAGCAAAAAAATATAGATTTGTATTAAACACCTTGCAGTGGCTCACTACGAATTTGCTTATTATAAGTAAAAGTAGATAACAAATGTAAAAACATTTTTCTCTCCAGCAAAACTGAATCAGATATCTACATGACAACAAGCATCCTGCTGTTACCACTAGCTGCTTATAGAATTGTTTCCTTTTGGAGACTGGCTTCTCTGCTGTCACTTTGTAACCTGTACAGATTATTTGTAAGCCGGTGTTTGCAGGTACATCGGTAAAAGTAAATAAAATAACATAAAATATATTGTTTTAGGCACAGACTGGAGTCAGCACATTTTTCTCTAGTCTCTGACGTCCATGAGACTTGAGCAAAGCACTGTATGGCAGAAGTGAGCAATTTCATATTGCAACCAGTTGGGTTTCTATTTTTCATAAAAACATGAAATCTGAAAGGTCA